TGTACCAAGGGTGGAGGGTTCAAACCCAGCCCCCACCAAACTGAAGTGGTCTGGAAGAACAAGCCCCATACAAGACAGTCTCAGACTATTCATGATCAGGAAGTCCTGTTGTTTTTATCCTGAAGTGTATTGAGTTAGAATGCATGTAACAGAGATGGAGAACTCAACACAGTGGGGCTAGGAAATAGAGTAAATACTCTGAAACCAGGAGGAGCTACAATCATCTGTAGCTGATGATGTAGAATGCTGGTAATGAGTCCTGTAGAAATTCACCTCATTGAACTCTCTTATGAGAACCACTTTAATGAAAAGAGTAAACTCTTTCTTTAAGGCCTACATTATTAACCACATATAAATGTATGTTTTTAATATGCTTAAGGATATTTAAAATGCATTTTACGTTTTCTGTAATACCTGTGTGTGAAAGTAATATTCTCATTTTAGGAAACTCAGAAATGTCAGAGGAGTACAAACCAAGATTCCTAGGAAAGGGGTCACGGCCCACTGAAGTGCTGATCCCACCCAGTGCCGCAGAAAGAACCCTGAAGTGGTGGCCATGAGCCTGAGTTTTAATCCTGGCCAGCTCAGGGTTTGGCCAAGTCTCTTTATTCTTTGGGCTTGAGTCTTCCCTTCTGAAAAATGAAGCTTGGAAGATTTTAACTAAATTATCTTTAAGGGCCTTCTCTGCTCTGATGTCAAATTGAATTCTATTCTAGATATTTTGTTGGAACCATGTTTATACTCTTTGTTTCCTTGGCAAGTACTTGTCTTGGAAGTCAGAGATTCTTTCAGTCGTCAGCACAGTCATCATAATTCCAAATGAACTCAGCTTGAATTCAGAGCAACTACAATACATTTATGAATCCACTAATTCATGCAAAACATTCATCCATCCCTTTATTCATTTATTCATTCCACAAATGAGTTGCCTACCCTTTACTACACTAATTTTTGACATACTGGGTGACTAAGAAAAGATTTCTGCACTCAAGAAATTCCCATATAATGGAAGAACAGGCAAATAAAGACTATATTTTCCCATTCCATTGGCATGGGCGTTACTATCATGAAATATACCTTTTCATTTATGTAACATTTATTTACTGAATGCCTGCTCTGTACCAGGCAGCACAGGAGGTACTGGGGGCTACAGTGGTGAGCACCCCAATTCCTTAATGGAGCTTCCACTTAGGGATGTGGGAGCACAGGTGCTCACAGTCACCACTCTGATGTGTATCCCTGGAGAGCTGCTTTTTGACAGCTACCCTAGGTGTGCAGAGACAGAGTTAAAGAAAAGACTCACCCAGGATGGGAGTTAAGAACCCTCCCTCTCGCTGTCAGAGGCTTTGCATCTTACGAGAAGAAAATGCTTGGTTGAAGACATGGAGAGTTAGCAGAGCCAGCAGAAGAGGGAACAAGAGTCAATAAAGCCAATAGCCATGGCATTGATGGAGACCTTGCCAGAGGCACCCAGCCCACTGCTAAGAGTGATCACAGCTGAAGCTAAAACAAACAGTGTCCAGAGAGAGAGGTTAGGGATTTAGACAGACAACGCAAACAGCTGACACTTGGTGTTCAGAATTATGAGCATCTAATCTAACTTTCTACTTTGCAGATGGGGAAACTCAGGCCCAGAGAGGAGGTGATTGCTGTGTCTCTAGAGTTAGTATGGGAACATGTGCTAAAACCTGGCAGCGGCCTTGGAATGAGAGGAAAAGGGGAAGAAACTAGTCTATCGACCATCCACTCACTGTCCACGTGAGCCACGAACTTCACTCTTGACTGTTTGAGTTTGTTCTCACACCAACTCTGTAGGATAGAAGTTCTTATCATTCCCATTCTATAGGATGAGAAACTGGAGCCAGAAATGTGAAGTAACTTCCCCAAGGCCACACGACCAGGGAGAGGGGACATGAGGATGGCCCGGAGGTTCGTCTGCCCCCAGCACTCATGCCCTTTCCCTCTGCCTCCTTCCTGTTCACCGGCAGCCTCCTGGGGGCCCCTAGGCTGATGCTTCTCAATTGCAAAGCACACACTGGTTGTATAATGAGTATCAGTAATTAATGATCCATTCTTAGTCAGGGAAAACTTGCCTAGTAAGCACACAAGGGGGAAAGAAAAACATATATATATATAACAGCATCCTTTTTTTTTCTTTTTTTTGAGACAGTCTCACTATGTCATCCTCCGTAGAGTGCCATGGCGTCAAAGCTCACAGCAACCTCCAACTTGGGCTTAAGTGATTCTCTTGCCTCAGGCTCCCAGGTAGCTGGGACTACAGGCACCTGCTACAATGCCTTGCAGTTATCATTGTTGTTTAGCTGGCCCGAGCCGGGTTTGAACCCGCCACCCTTGGTGCATGTGGCTGGCGCCCTACACTGTGCTATGGATGCTGAGCCAGCATCCTTTTTCTGAATAGAGTAGATTTCTTGTTCTCACCAATATCCTCCCCCTAGAAAAGAGAGAGAGAGAGAAGGAAATGAACTGAGCCTCCTCCACCCCCTCACAGTCCCTGATAAGAGAAGTAAGAACCTCAGCGTCTGCCTTTTCCATGAAGAAAGATCCCCTCTACCCACACCAACCCGGCTTCCTGCTCCTTTGCCAAAGGTAACCATTTTACCTCCCCAGTTATGAATCATGAGTCCTGTGGCTTGTGGCAGATCATAAATCAGTCCTGGGAGTCTCGAGGACAAATCCCAGGACTTTTAATCTTTAATATTAGATGTGTTTAAAGTGGTGAATATTTCATGAAGGGACTGTTGCATTTTAACACATCATTAGTGACTCCCACCCTCCTCCCGTTGCTAAATTATTCCCTTCCAAATTCAAGGCTCTCAGCCCTTGAATTCCCTCCTTCCCCTTCCCCCTGGCAACAGTCAGTCCATTAGGTGACACATACTTACAGCTCTAGCCCTTGGAGGAAGACCCCAGGCATGAGGTAGCAGGGGAGGGGCACCGTGGGCAGCCTTGCCTGCGAGCAGCCCCCTCCTCACACACAGAGGTGTGTAGGCACACAGAGGAAAGGCAGATCTCTGTCTGTCTTCCAGCAACCTTACTCCGAATGTTTCACATCTGTCTCTGACCCAGTCTTCTCCCCATACTCTGCCTTACTACCTTTTAGTTCAACCATGTTCATGAAGCCCAGGCTACTTGTTAACTACCTGGTAGATGCTGAGTACAAAGACTGAGTGGCAGTGTGATATCTAAAACAAGTTAGAATGTTTGTAAACACTCAATGCCTGTGTAAGGTCAGGGGGATAACACGGTTCATTGGGAAAGCAACAAGGGTATTTGGTGAATAAGGAGTTATGAGTGATAGGGCCTGTGTTCTACCTGAGCATCCTGTTCACCACTATGTTTAGTTTTGGTTGCACCAGGTTGAGAAATTCCTGAATCACATGCGGTGTAGTTGCCAAGAGCGTGTGCTTATTGGCCACTTGACTCATCCTGGGTACTCTTCCTGCGGCAACAAAGGTGACAGGAGAGGTTTCTCCCTGAAGTCAAAAGAAAGTGAGTTTACCCGGCAACTGATGCTCCCCAGTATCCTCACTTCTGCCGTGTGGCATCTGAGCATTTGTCCTTCACTTGAAAACAAAATCTCAATTTTCACAGTCTCTAAATCTCCTTCATTGAACCATACATTTCCATGGACACGATTTGAAATCTCTTGGGTCAGATCAATCAAATCTCTGTAGGATCAAAGGGTTGCAGGTCCTGTTTGTGTGGGTGTGAGAGAGAGAGGGAGATTGTGTGTGTCTCTCAATGTGATCACTGGAAGATGGGAAAGATGACAAGGTGACAGCAATAGCCTGGAAATTTACCGAAGCCATAGAGGAGGTGGGTAATTATTCACTCAACTCATAGTGTTGCATACCGGCCCTGTTCTAGGCAGTAGGCTAGGCCAGGGCAGTTTCTACCAGCATTTTTGCATATGTATCACCTCCAGGGAGAATTGTGTGTGTGTGTGTGTGTGTGTGTGTGTTGTGTAGAATTTCCCAAACATTTTGTTTTAATAGAATCTATTTTTGGCAAAGCATCTGTGAACATTCCAGAAAATCATCTTATTAAAAAACCCCAATATCTCATAGAATCAAAAAAAAATTTCTCCTACCCATAATAAGCATACAGTAGAGCAGAAATGGTAAAGTCGGGGGTAGGACAGAGATTTCTGAAAACTTTCCTAGGATTCTATACTCTGAAGACACACTAGGAAATGAGACACGTGTGGGCCAGCTGAAATGAAGTCAGCCAGTGAGAGCATCAGTGATGAGGGGGTGGCAGTGTGGACGACACGGCCAGAGACTAGAAGAATGATGGGTGGACGGACGTGTGCATGAATGGAGGGAAAGAAAGGAAAGAATTGAAAGGGTAACAGGGAGAGCAAAGCCGGGGGAGGACAGGACATGGCGGGGGAAGCAAAGTGAGCGAAAGAAAACCAGTTTAAAAATCAAACGCAACAAAAACAAAACAGAGTAAAACCAAGAGACAATCGGCAAAAATGATTTTTCCAAAAGAGATCAGAGGTTGCTTGGAGGAGGTGGCATTTGACTGGGGGGTTCATGAATGGCCGTGACCTATTCTTTCAGACGGAGGGAATTTGATGTTCTGATTACACTTTTACAGTAATAGTACTTTAACATAATTGAAATATTTCGGAATAAGACTTCTCCATTTGTAGCCACTTGGTTGATTCCAGTTTCCCTGTTTTAAGTTGTGAGCTCCTTTAGGGGCTGGGTTGTACCTTTGACCTTATATCTCCAGTGCTGAGCTGAGATTCTAGCAGAATGTGGCCAGGACTCGTTGAATAAATAAATGAGTGAGTGAACAAATGAATAAAACTCTGTTAACCTCAGTGACCAATGGACCGGAATACCATCTTGCCATAGTCCTTTTCTAAAACTAGGCAGCTTACTTTGTTTCCCAGGGAAATGAGGAAGCCAGAGTAAGGTCTCTTTGGGGAGTTTCCCTATCACAAGCTTATTTTCTCTTTTTGATTACAGGAGAATGCAGCTGTCACGAAGGCTACGCCCCTGATCCTGTGCACAAACACCTGTGTGTGCGTAGTGACTGGGGACAGAGTGAAGGGTGAGTAACGCAGCAAAGGACATCTGGACTGGGACAGTGGAGGACCCGCCCCACCTCTGCTCTGTTACCAGAGACCCCAAGCATCTCCACAAAGAAGCCTCTTCTCTGCATCAGTTGTATTTCTACAAACCCATTGGGAATTCTCCTTTCCTACTGAGTCACATTTTAATATTGAAAGTACATGATTGATGACTCTTCTGGAGGAAAAAGAGGCTGACATTTAAGTCACTCGCCCAAACAGAAAGTAATCAATGAATACTTCCTCCAGTGGACTGACAAAGAACAAGAACTAGGCTTTTGCACATGGACTTGTAAATGGGCACGGACACTTTGCAAATGTGCTGACTCCTTCTGTAACTCGGAGACAGTCTTCTATGACGTAAATAGTCCTTCCAGTAATTATTTCTGCAGAATTTGGTTGTGTGTAAAGCTTCTCTTGGGTGGGATCCATGTAGGATTCCCACCTGATTCTAACTAATATCATCTCCTCTCCCCTTTTCTTCTTTCCATAGGCCTTGGCCTTACACGACACTTGAGAGGGGCTATGATCTGGTGACGGGAGAGCAAGCCCCTGAAAAGATTCTCAGGTGAATTGACAGTTTTGTTGGGGCATAATTCTGGGAAATGGGGAAAGGTCTGTTAGGAAGGTGTGCTTATGTAACCTCAGACTGTCAAGCTCATGCACCTCTGGGCTGCACTGGGCACAGGAGAACTGTCATAGGGACTAATATCGCATCATGGCTCAGGTTGCGGGGGGAGTCTAATTCCCATTTGTCTGGCTTCAAGACTTACTGACTCAGATGCTTGGACTGGAGGAAGCATTGCTGATTACCTAGCCTAGTGGGTTAAATTCTGTAGCCTTAGAACCTCTGTCCACTTACTCCATGAAATCTCATGTAAAACTTCAGTACTGAGGTGAATAAAGGCATATGGAAATTGTGTGGGCGAGCTGGGAATCGCATTTTGGTTCACACAGATTCAGAGCCCATGCTCTTCACTTTTGTGCCCGACGGCTCCTGCTGACTCAGCAGTCACTTACTCTGCACCTGCTGGATATCGGGACTGACTGGTAGGAGAGCAGAGCCGACACAGTCCCCATGCTCAGGGTCCCCTGTGTATGCAGGAGGGGAAAATTAGCAACACAGAGCAATGTGTGGCCTAAATGATTGGCGGAGTTTAGAAATGACCATCCAAGTCTGGACAATGTTAGCCAAGACTGTGCCTTGGGGAATGCAGGGGATGGGTGGAGAAATGAAGAAATGTCCCACAAGGGATGGGAACAGGGGCCCCTTTTTTTCTATTTGCTCTCTGCTTCTCAGGGAGTTCCCCAATGGAAACTCTTACATTGCAGGTCTACTTTCAGCTTGGGCCAAGGCCTCTGGCTTCCGGTCAGCAAAAGCTTCGTGGTGCCGCCCGTGGAGCTGTCCATCAACCCCCTGGCCAGTTGCAAGACAGATGTGCTCGTCACAGAAGACCCTGCAGATGTCAGGTAGGGAAGTCGTCTCCAGTACCCTAGGCCAGGGACCTCTGGGAGCCCTGGAAGACTGTTTCAGGATCACAGGAGCTCTTCTGAAGGTTAATACATACACCATGAAGGCAGCTGCCTAGTTCACATAGAAAATACTGTCCAATACACCATGCTCCTAAACTCCCCGGAGTATCCTTCATCTCTGTGCCTCAGTGCCTTAGGCTTCAACATTACGGCTCTGTCTTTGGGTATGTATTAATTATAGGAGAGGCTAACACATTGGCTCATCATGAGACCAGTAATGATCTGATCTTATAACAGATCATTACTTAACATTATGTAGGAGGCAAAAAGGCAGAGCATAGGATGCTCCCTGCTGTGATTCTGGTACTGGGGATGGACTTGGGCTAATCCATGAATTTTAAACTTCCAGGTGGAATCTTTTTATACTTTACTCACAAAAGGATGGATACTGCGTTTCTTATGTGTCTTACACTTGGTAGCTAACTTTATTGTGGACTTACCCAACTGTGTACAGATCAGTTTCTTACATACCCTTCTTTCCCGTTATGTGGTACACTTCTCAAGGTCAAGGAAAATAACTTATTTAGCTTTTTAATCCCCAGGTCCTAGTACGTATTGGACACCTACTAAATGTTTATTGATTTAATTATGTTGTCTTAGATCTGATCCTACCACTATTCCAAAGCTTTCTAGTGGAGATTTTATTTCTCCCAATTTGATTTCTGTTCTAGAAATTCAGTGTTACCAAAAATAGACCCTAGTTTTACTTCTAAAACTGGCTTGTACACAGCTTATTTATTGGCTCATGAACTAGAATTAAAACTTGGCCCCCTACCTACCAGTGACTATTATTCAAGTACTACATAGTGGAATCAAGATGTTATCAGCGTGTCTACAGCATCTTGAGAGAAACCTAGAACCCAACTCTCCAACTTGGCATCGGGTTTACTCTCACCTGTCAGCTTTCACGTGGACTGGTGAAACTAGTCAGCTTTCACTTTCACTGAAAGGGGTAGCACTTAGGAAATGAAACAATAATTACTAGGAACTAAGCAACCAAGATGGTTTCATGTGTACACACTAATTGATTTGTGGGAAATCACCATTATTTCCTTTTTTTGTAGAATCAAAGTAGGTGAGGTTTTAATGCAGCAGGTGCCAAGATCTCCACATTGTGTATTGTAAAGAGGGAGCAAGGATCATCTGGTGGGAGGACTGTTCTTAATGTCCTTGTCTGAAATCAGCTAACTCACCTAGAGTGAAATCAACTAAACAAAAGATCTTGACTAGCTATGCTGAGAGTTCTATACTGCTGACTTTGCCTTGCTGATTTCAATGAAGATACAGAGACACAGCCATCAAACTGGCTGATGGTAACCCTCACTCTGGAGTTGGGTAGAACTGGGTTAGAATCCTGTCTCTATCAAGTATAAACTTTAGATCTTGGCAAAATTCACTTTTCTAAATTTCCATTTCTGTGTCTGCAACATGAGGATAATAATATTGCTTTCCTCACAGAGTGTAATGTTAATACATGGATCATTTCCTGTGGGCCACTTTACTAATATTTTCTCATTACATTCTTACATCATCCCCATGAGGTGATGCTCATATTATTTCCATTTTATAGATCAAAAACATCAATACGTAAACAAGAAAACCCAAGGCATAGAGGTGATGCCTTTGCTAGCAGGCAATGAAACAGGTTTCAGCCCTTGATCTGCAATGGTGGCTAGAAGATTGCAGTCATCACCCTTTGAAAGAATCTGCTTTATGTAGATTGAGTTTTTCAAGCTGTGTTAATAAACCTTGTTTGACATGACACTGCCCAGGCAAGCATATCATGAATGTTTAAAGAATTAATAAGTTCCAGCCAGAAGATATGTTAGGAATTTAATAAATAATAGATCATAATTATAGATAGCCAATAATACTGCCATGGAACCACAACAGAGAGATTAGAGGAAGGACGATATGGAAAACAGAGTCATAAGGAAACAGAGGGTAAGCATTACAGTAGGATTGGAGAGAAAAACTTGAACACGCATTGCAAGTTTATTCTTTGCTTTCTTTAAATTTTGGAGAAAATATGGGACCTCATGCTGTAGGAGTAAGAACAACTTAGCAGTCAAACTAACGGGCTGCAACCCACCTGAGTGGCTAGATTTGAAACAACTAATGATAACAAGTGTTAGTGAGGATAATGGAGCAACTGGAAATTTTATATCCTTATAAGAAGAATATAAATAGATATGGACTCTAGGTAAACTTGTTAAACAGTATCTACTAACGTTGAATATACACATATCCTATAACCCATGAATTTCACCCAAAAATGTATATTTAACAGAAACCTGTATATATGCATCACAGACAATATGTACAATAATATTAATAGTAGCAATGGAAAAAAAAAGAATTAAAAGCTAGACAATAACTACCAATTTCCATCAACAAAAATGTAGATAATGAATTTATGGATTACTCTAGGAGCCATACAGTGGAATGCTATTAACAGTGAATATGAACTCAGTCACACAGCACCACAGGTGAATCCCACAAATGTAATGTTGAGTTATAGAGATCAGACACATGAGAATGTTATGTGTTTGCATAAAGGTCAAAAATGGTTCGTAAAAAACTTATGTATGATGTTAGAAGAAAGCATAGGGGTCACTTTTGGGTAACAGAGGGGCCATGACTGGGGTAAGACTGAAGAGCTCGTTTGATGCCAATAATGCTTTATTTCCTGATCTGGGCGGTGGTGACATAGGTGTTTTCTCCCTATAAAAATTCATCAAGCTGTGCACTCTTCTCCATGGATGCTGTACTTGGGTTAAACATGAAATTCATTGTTTAAGGGCATGGGCTATGCAACCCAAGTGAACTGCCCTGCTTATTTCCAGGAGCTTTTCTGCTGCTGTGTTGAGGACAATAGGGAAGGAAGATCATTTATATCACAAGGGGGAGTGGTGGAAATTAAATGGCGTACTGCAGGTAAAGCACTGAGCTTGGCTTGGCATGGACTCTCCAGAAGCATTAGCTATGCTTGTTGCTACTTGGGTGCAGCTTTTTGTTTTTTGTTTTTAATTTTCTTCATCATTTAATTGTTTTCTCTTTCTTTTGCTGAAAGTCTGTATCCAATCTATGCTGCTTCTCAAAACGCAATGATGTCTTAGTACTCCAGGTTCACATTAGCCCCCATGGTCTTGGGGTTTGGGGAAGACTTCAGTGAGTACATAAACTCTAGGTCTGTGGATGTATGGATATGCTGCTCAGAGGGTGGGTCAGTGATTGGAAAAGAAGGGAGAAATTTCTGACCAAATGAACTAGGCATGCATTTTTAAGAGGGAGAACAGGAACAATTAACTTTGAATTGGGGATAAGATTTGGTTGTATGGAATCTAAAGTTTCAAGTCTGAGAGGCTAAATGGCAAAAGAAGAGAAATCTTCCCTGGACAGCTCCATCCTCCATCCTGTCCCAGCAGGAAGCTGCTGGGAATGAGATTGTTAGCATTCAAGACACTAATGATGCCAGTTACAAAGGTGGAAGAGTGAGCTCTCCCTAAATTGCACACGGATTTATTTCAATTCTGAAAAAAACCTTTGCTGGGCCCCTCCTGTGTGCCCGATACTGTGCCAGGTACCGTAGGGACACAGAGATGAATACAGCCCACCTCTGCTTTTAGGAGTCTCGTGGCATAGCAAGGAACATGGAATAAGAGACTGACTTGAGAAATGAAATAAAAGATACTTGTGGAGAGAGAAGCATGGCAAACAATACTTATTACTACATACTGGGCCTTCTTCACAATTTCACCTGGAGCTGATTCTTCTAATAAGAGAAATGTGAGAATAACTATTGTCCCTAGAATAATAATCGCCCACAAAGCCCAGCTTGCAGAGCCCCTCAGTGATTTGTCTATGATCTCAAATCAATGAAACTGAAATGGTGAAATACTGTTAATCCCTGAAAGAATAATGGGATATCAGAACGCATGCTAGCATCGCTCATTTGGTGGTGGTTTCCATGTTGAACTGACCTGAATAGAATTAAGTATGTCTCCTTGATCTTTTGGCCAAACACTAAGAATTTACTGAACACCTACTATACATCATGCCAAGTATTGCAGATATAGGACTAATAGGACAAGGATTTCAGTGTATTAAATGAGACAGAATTATAATAAAAAAGATGTCATAGTCGATAGTCAAAGAGGATGGAGGGAAAGTTCAAGGCAGAGAAAAAAACACAAAGGTGGAGGTAGCTGAACTCATGTGGATGTTAAAAGGAAGGACTCACAGAAGGGAGAGCCTCTATGCCAGATTTTGGAGTACTAGTCACTTGATCACTGGTTTTCAAAGTGTAGTCCCTAGACCAGTAGTAACATTGACATCACCTGGAAACTCATTAGAAATGCCAATTCTCAAACTCTGTCTATGGTAGTCTGCTAACAACCCCCTAGGATATGAGATCTGAATCCCTAGAATGTGCCCATGTTGCCTTATTTGGAAAAGGGATCTTTTCAAATGTTATTCTGAATCTTTAATTAGATTGAGTTGCTTGAATTATCTGAATGGACCCCACATACCATAACAAGTTTCCTTACAAGAGAGAAACAGGAACGTCTGATACACACAGAGGAAAAGGTAGGTGAAGATGGAGTTAGAGATTAGAGAGGTAGAACTGTAAGCCAAGGAATGCCAGCACCGATCGTTAGCTGGAAGAGGCAGAGAACAGATTCTCCCCAGAGCCTGCAGAGGATGTGTGCCCCTGCTGGAACCTTGATTTTAGCCCAGTCATATTGATTATGGACTTCTGCTTGGTTTCATAAGACATCCTATTTGTATGACAGTTTGTTACAGCAGCCACAAAAAACTAATACACCTACTGAATCAGATATTTTGCAGGTGATCCCAGCCAAGCTGGTTTAACAAGCCCTCAGATGATTTTAATGCTTGCTAAAGCTTGAGTACAAATGCAGTAGGTATCAAAA